TGAGTCCCATAAAAGAGGAAAGGGAGAGAGGCCAAAGCATCTTCACACTCATACTTGATGGCATTCTTCCTCCTAGAGAATTAACCTCAAGGGCTGATGCCAGACAAAATTTACGCTGGTTAACTCTTTCCTGACATGTGTGCTCCTAGGATCATGTATATCAAAAAAACTCAAGGCAAATTTCTGAAGTGCTAGGGATCTGAGGAAAAGGAATCCTTGTTTGTTCAAACATCCACTTAAACTATTTATAATATACAAATAATAACTTAGGCATAACCATAATATTATTATAATGATAAAGGCATCCATTCCCCTCCAAGAACAGTGAGCTTTGATGCTGATTAGACAATGCAATCAGTCTACAGACTACGCCATGCTAAGTCAATTCCAATACCTTTAGGTAGAACCACATTTAAAGGGTAGCTACTTTTACGTGTCCGGCTTCCTCCCTTAGGAAGTGGATGTTGCTTCAGTCTCTTCCAGGAGGCTGCTGGGAGGTGGCCTGTGCTGGAATCAGAGTAGCTGGCAGGCGGTGGCTGCCCGGCTTGCTGGGAGACAGATAAGCAGCAGGGTGCACTTCACATTCCACTGCACAGCTTCCTGGCCGAGGTGCGGGTCCCAGTAGAAGGTAACCAGGACTTCAACTATCTCACTTCCATTTTGGAATTCTAGATGTTTATGCAGAGGAAAGTACAACTGACTCATTCATCTGGTCACTTCCAAGAGGGAGAGGCAAAGCTCAGAGTCGCCAGCCCAAGAGCCCCAGGGGGCCAGTGCCCAGAGCCAGCCCCATGGGCATAGCCAGAGGGTGACGTCAGGGCTTCTTCCCAAAGCAGGTTCTTGTCATCACACGGCCTGGCTGACGTGTCTGCAGGGACAATAGCCAGCACTCTGCTCTCCAGCAGCTCCCAGCCAGCCTTGCTCCCTGGGAGATTGGAGCAGAGGCCCAGGGTCACAGCACAAAGGCTGTTCAGATAAGGTGGCCTTTGTCCCTCTCTGCGTGAGCCTGGCTTGCACCGGGAAGGAGAGGGAGTAACAGTGCCTGCCTTTCCAGGACACCCCTACTCCTGGGAAGGTCTGTCTTTTCTTTCCCAGAACGAACTTCCCAGGACAAACCAGTCTTTCTGGCTCTGGAGTTGTGCCGACCTTCCCAAAGCTGACCGCGGGACACGCGTCCTGGGTGGTCTCTTCATTTTTGTGGATGTTCTACTCCAGACGAGCAGATGCTCCTACCAAAAACAATAACATCTAGAAATCACTGAACACTTACGCATCAGGGATTTTCCGTATGTCATATTATATAATCCACTATCATCATTATTATTATAACCATTTTATAGATGGGAAGACTGAGGCTCAGAGATGTTGACTAACTTGCCAACAGTCACTCTGTCACCAAAGTGGTAGAATCGAAATACAAATCCACGTGTCTCTGACTCCAGAACCCAAGTCGTTATGACCACATCAAACGTCACGTACATCATGTCAAAAGGAAGCCACTGCCCCGTGCTCTCGGGGCCCCTGAGCTGTTGCCCACAGGGACTGAGCGAGTGTGCAGCTGTCGGGGCTCCTTGCCCTTTCCCTGGGCTCCTGCCCTGGCAGTGGCGAACCCACACCACTCGTAGTCCTGAAGGAGTGGTGACTGGCAGGGCCCCCGTGGCAGAGCCTTTTGGCCTGGTCCTCAGTGCATCCAGGCATCTTCTCACGCGGCACGTGTCGTGCTTCTTAGACGGCAGATGGGGCCATATTTGGCGCCCCAGTGCTCACCCTGTGTTTGCTTGGGTGTCGGCACCTGCCCTGTGTGCAGCTAGGTGCCCCATGCCTTCCTTATTTCATTGACTTAAGCAATGGAGGCTTCTTAAATGCTGGGTCTCACCGGATAGACTCCAGCAGTTGGCTCCAAAAATAATCCTCCCCCTGCAAGAGTCTCCCCTCATCCTGCCCACCCAAGTCTGCTAGTCTCCACCCTAGAATGTCTCACCCACTTTCTCGCCATCGTCAAATGCCCCCCCCTCTCTTTCTGCTGTCCGTGCACCCCTGCCGGGCGCTTCGGCCCCCACCCAACCCGCCCCTCCTCCTGGAGGCTTCTTGGACGACTCGCCGTGCAGTCTGGCCTCTGCCAACATCTCTGATTGGGTCCCGTAGACACTCGGGAGTCCTTTCTCATGGTTTTCTGTCTCTCCTCCTTGCCATATCTTACCTGATTACACTTCAGCTTGTCTCTGCTCCTCTCAAGTGGGAAGGCTGGAGATGAACAAAAGTAACTAAGGAATGCTCTGCCCAGCCCTGGGGAAAGAGAACCGATTGCCTACACCTTTATTCCAGATACTCTGCTTCGAGGCTTTTCCACATCTGTTTAGTGCCTCCTCGACCTGAGGTGTTATTGCCTCACTATTAGGTGATACAAACTGCTATTTTTATCGTTCTCTATCTCTCCACTTAAAAATAATTAAAGAGGTTTGGGAGGGATCAGAAGAGAAATGACTCTCTCTTTCTCACCCCCTCGTTTAAAAGAATTTCTACTCACCTGTTAGAATCTGTGGACAACTTTGCGATTTGGTTAATTCCCCCTATTTTGCACACCTGTGGGAGGTGATACTCCGTGTGGAGATGAGAAGAGTGTTTGTCACATGAAGCATCTGTCAGACCACACAGAGAAGATCCACACCCACTTTAGAAGGAAGCGAGGAGGGTATTTCAGATAAGGAAGCTTTTAGTGGAAGGGTCCCGCGTGGACACTGGGAGAATGTGAAGGTGTTGGCTCGGGGCATGTGCCCAGTAGATCCCAACGAAATGCTGTGATTTCCAGGGTATGGAGCGCTTAGCTTTCACCTGCTCCCCTGCCTACCAGGCCCTCAATAATATACATACTCCTTTTAAGAGAGACAAAGTCTTTAATTCCACACATAAACTTGGACTTCAAATTTCAATGAAAACATAGCTTATAAAGTAAAGAAATGTACAGACTGAGGTAACAATGGAAGTATATTCACGGAGGTGACTGGAAGGGCCTTGCTTGGAAGCTCTCAGGCATGTGATCTCCCTAAGAAGGGAAAAATGGTGAATCCATTCATTGACATTGCCTGAAAATAAGGTATAAAGCCATCTGCAGAGCCTAGGTTTTGCTGTAAGGAAAGGGAAAAAAGAAGAGTAGGAGCTAACTCTGGACTCTTAAAATAGAGAGAGAGGGGCTTGGGACCAGAATATACTAAAGAGGAAGAAGAGTGACTTCTGATGTCCCCAAAATGTAGCATTTGTTCAAACACCCAATGACAACTCCCTGCTAGGAAACAAATAGGTTTCAGGCACAAATATGAGAAAATTCTAACATTTATTTATGTTAGGTTAGAGACAAAGAGTTGTTTTATATTATTCTCTGTTCTCTTTTACTGTTTCAAATTTTTCTAGTTCAAAAAAAGTGCAAGGATAAATTGAAAATAAAAGTACCCATCAATACAATGGAATACTGTGCAGCCATTTAAAAAAGAATAAAGAAGATCTCTATGTTCTCAACTGGAAAGATCTCCAAGAAACATTGTAGAATAAACAGAAAAAAAGCAAGTTTCAGGATAGTATATTTCACCCAGTCCTATCTGTTTGAAATACATTTAAATATGTCTGTATATGTCCTTCTGTGTGCATAGAGTTAAATCTAGAAGAGGCAACAAATCATTAACAGGAGGTAGATTATATACATTAGGCATTTTCCTATGGTGTAAATTTTTATGATGAGCAATTTATATTACTTTTGTAATTATAGTAAAACAATAATGACTTTTATAAGCAACCCGTGGAGCAGAAATGCTGGTCACCAGGCTCTGCCTGGTGTTCCCACTTGCCCTGTCCTTGCGTGGCCTCCTTCCCGATTTGACACTTAGACATCTGCGTGAGGGCCCGTGACAGATGCCAGCGGTGGTGGCGATGACAAGCCCAGAGCCACATTTGTTCCATTACTTCCAGCTCCTTGCTGCCTTTCCAGTCGCCGCAGTGAGAGCCCCTCTCCCTTATCTGCACAAAGCAAGTCAAAAGTTCTTGTCCGTGCGATTGCGGAATACCGGGCTGAAAGACCTCCTGATAACACCTAAATTCCTCTAGCGGAGCAGGGCCCGCAATCAGGTCAGAGAGCTTCTACGTGGCTTCAGCACACTGTGTACTGTGCAGTTGGATAATAAACCAGATGAAATTTGGCAAATAAAAGCATAAGGGACATATAAGGATGTCATTACAGTCCCATCTGGTCCGATAACCCCTCAGCAAGACCACGCAGGCTGCGAGGTGGAGTCTCTTGTGTGAGCCATCGAGCGGTTCCAAAATAGACACAAAGATAGGAGGAATAAAAAAAAAAATTCCAAATAATAAAAAATAAGGATCAGGCTGAAGTTTCCAAGACACATTTATGGCTTTTATAAACAGTCATGCATTAGCTGAATGGCTCTTTGGGACACTCTGGTGACATTAGCTAATTCTGACATTTAGGAGTTTAAACTTAGTAGCTGTCCTGGCTTATCCTTATTAGCAAAGTTTGCTAAACAGTCTGTGCTCTGCACCCTGCTCTATGTTTGAAGATGATGCAAATGGCAGGCTGTCATCTCAATTCCATCTCTTGTCACAAAACCCGAGGGGGACAGGCGCATCCTCCTGCTGCCGTCTCCTCTGACCTCATTCTGCATCCTGCATTCCCTGTTCTTTCCTTCACCTTCCCCAGTCTAGTTTCACAAAGGTATGGGCTCTTACAGAAAATGGGAAGAAATGCAGAAACCCGAACATAAAGTGTAGTCAACGAAGACGGAGTTCCCACTGTATCACTCTGTCTTCCCCGCCAAACAGACCACTCTCGTAAACACGAATTCCCACACAGGAAGCCAGGCAATTTAACCTCTGTCTTCACTCTTGCCTGAACGTGCAACCAACCCGGGGAGAGACGTGTGCGCTTCCCACAGGGATGACACGTGGGGCGTTTCCTAATCGATCGACTCAGCTCTCGGGTTCCACTCCCGCAGGTAACCAGGTGAGTTTCTCTAAGTCAGCGGATGCGTTTGCCTTTGAAGAGGACAGCAGCAGCGATGGGCTTTCTCCAGACCAGACTCGAAGCGAAGATCCCCCGGGCTCAGCGGGGTCCCCTCCAGACGCCAAAGCCTCAGAGACCCCTTCGGCTGCCCCTCTGGGGACCATCCAGGTAAAGACAGAAAACAAACAGGACCAAACCCGGCATCTCAGTCTGTCATCTCTTCACAGTCTTAAAAATCCACGCTGTTACATACAGCTGGTTTCGTTTACAAACCCCAGAGACGTCCCCTGGTGGCACAGGTTGATGCCTCCGTCACCCTCTGCATTCCGGGGTCCGGGTGGGGGGCAAAAGCCTCCAGGGGACACTAAACGAGCACCCCCGGAACTGTGCGCTTTGCCTTACCTGTTAAGCGTCTACTCTGCCGAGCAGATGCCTCTGTCTCCATTGTTATGGACACAGTGACGGGTCTCGGCGAGACTAGGGCACTCGCGGACTCCAGTCTCCCAGCTAGACGCGGCCAGAGCAGGGCTGAGGTCAGAGCTCACCGTCCTTCCGGACAGCCAGGAGTCACTCTCGGTTCCGGTTCCGGGGCAGCGGGGAGGAGGAAGTGCTGACTGTCTGCAGGCAGGGAGGCCGTCGACTCCCAGCCTCCACCCAAGCATAACACTCCCCTCTTTCTAGACAAACCTCTAAACCCTCCAGCATGGGGAATATGTGCCGAAAACGCTCTTAAAACACATTTATAAATAATGGTGACTATGAACAAGGGCTCCTGCCATGGGTCAAGTGCTCACTCTGGGCCGGGCCGCGCCGGGCGCTCTACACATGGTTCTCGCTTGAGGTCACAGTTCCCTGCAGGTGGGTCTCATGGACGGCCATCCTGACAGGGAGGGGCTGAGCTCTGCGGGGCCAGCTGGGTGGTCTCCGGGACACAGCCGCGTCCGCGCCCTGGAGAAGCCACCTTTAGAAGCCGCACGCAGGCTGGATGGGGGCTTCCCTCAGCTTAGCCCCATGGCATTCATGGAGGCCCTGGGAGGAGAGGAGTGTGGGCGTCCACACGTGATGGGAGGGGAGTCCACACGTGAGGGGAGGGGCGTCCACACGTGGCGGGAGGGGCGTCCACACGTGGCGGGAGGGGCGTCCACACGTTGAGAGAAGGGGGCATCCACACGTGGCGGGAGGGGCGTCCACACGTTGAGAGAAGGGGGCATCCACACGTGGCGGGAGGGGCATCCACACGTGGCGGGAGGGGCGTCCACACGTTGAGAGAAGGGGGCATCCACACGTGGCGGGAGGGGCGTCCACACGTGATGGGAGGGGGTGTCCACACGTGAGGGGAGGGGGCGTCCACACGTGAGGGGAGGGGGCGTCCACACGTGGCGGGAGGGGCATCCACACGTGGGCGTGAGGAGCGTCCACACGTTGAGAGAAGGGGGCATCCACACGTGGCGGGAGGGGCGTTAGGGAGGGGGCGTCCACACGTGTAGGGAGGGGGCGTCCACACGTGGCAGGAGGGGCGTCCACACGTGTAGGGAGGGGGCGTCCACACGTGGCAAGAGCAGGTGTCCCAGTGTGCCAGTGAGGTGTGAGCTCAGCTCTGCTTCCACCTGGAGAGCCCGGGCCCTCCACCGCTCCCCTTCAGGGAGACTTTACTCCTCTGGCCTCACGGGACTGTGCAATAGACTGAAATTAGATATATTTGGGGATATTTTTCCACTGAAAAGCACCCTACAGATAGTAGGGACAGCTACAGTAATTAGTACCCAGGGCCCCGTTTCCTGAAACCATGCCAGTCACTGATTTTGCCACGCCTGTGCTCAGCCCATGAAACCAAGCCTACAGCTGCCAGGGAGAAAGTGCGCAATGGGGGGAAGCGGGAGGGACGAGCAGCAGAGCCGAGGAGTTCATGCGTTCCTGCGCCAGAGCTCGTAATCAAAGCATTCTTCCTTCCCCTGCGCCCACAGCTGGCCGCTGCAGCCAGGCTTCTTTGATAACATCAAACGGTCTGTCAGGCCATTTGGACGCATTATTCTGACAGTAAATTCCTCAGCTTCTGATTTAAGAATGGTTTCGGGAGAAGACAAGTCCTCTTCTGCTTAACCTTAGGAGAGGGGAAGAAGGAAACCTACACTGAATGATGCCGGGCAGAAGGCAAAGCTCACCTTATGTCGTTTCGCCAGGCAACCGTGTGCGGCAGGCGACACTAAGGCTCCGAGAGAAAAGCCCTCCGGCCTCTGACAGGTGCCAGGCTCCGGGAGAGGGGCTCAGTCCCGACCCCCGGGCCCTGAGCAGCCTGGCCCCTTTGGTCAGACTTCCAGCAAACGAATGCAGGAGAGGAGGAGAGGAGACTGAGTCCCCTTTTGGAGTCTGCCTCGTAAAGGTTTTTATGACTCCACACACATACACACACGGACATACCCACATATGTGTACACACACATATACATAGACACACACATACATAGAGACACACACATGCGTTAACACACACATATATACCTAACATACACATGCATGTGTATCTACACATGCATAAACATACATACACACACCCTCACATATACACTCAGATATACACATAGACATGCCCACATATGTGTACACACACATATACATAGACACACATACATAGAGACACACACATATATACCTAACATACACATACATACATATCTACACACACATAAACATACATACACACACATATACACTCAGATACACACACAGGCATGCCCATATATGTGTATACACACATATATATGCACACAGAGACATATACATTAAAACACATATATATACCTAACATACACATACATGTGTATCTACACACATACATATAAACATACACACACATATACACTCAGATGCACATATACACACACATATACTTTTACATATACACACACACGTGCACACACACACGTGCACACACACACACACACTTTCCCTCCTGCTAACACCGTTTTCCTCTACCTTGTCTGTTGGCCTACTTTCCCTGCAAATTCCCACACCCACTCTCCCTTCTTCCTTTGTTTGTCGATTCCATTATCAAGTTCAACAGGTGGACTTTGTCGCAGACAAGTGGAACCTCACACAGGGTGACTAGACATCCCAGCTTGCCTAGAGCAGGCCAGTTCTATATCTGTCTTCTGAAATCATCATTAAGAATTCCCCCTCTCTCTCCCCAAAGCGCCCTCAGTTGGATGACAAAGTGAGAGTGTGTGTGTGTGTGTGTGTGTGTGTGTGTGTGTGAAGCAGCAGAGCAGTGTGTAACGGCTCTGCTTTAACGTTTCCGTGTCACACAACTTTTATTCCTACGTACAGTAACGCTAAAATTTACATTTCAGGATCTCGCTTCTGGCTCAGAAAATGACAGGAGTGACTCAGCCTCACAGCCCGGCCACCAGTTAGACGCGGGGAAGCCGGGGCTCGGCCCCAGCAGCACCCCCCTCCCCGTGCATGCTGCTGTAAAGGTACGCACGCGCCAGCCCCCAGCTTCCCCGCACACGCACACCAAGCGCCAGCGCGGCGTGGGGCTTTGTGTTAGGACAGACAACATGAAGAGGGCCACACAGACCCATGCACAGGTTCCCCCTACCAGGAATGTCTCAAAACAGGAGGTGAGAAATGAGCCACCCGTGTATGTGAACTAAGAGTCTATTAGCCGCGCAGCGAAGCACAGGTCTCCTCCACAACGGAGAAGCCGTGCGTTTTCATTTCTTCGAGATCACAGCTCGGCCAGCATGCTTCTGTCTTAAAAGATTTTATAAGCTCACCTTTGAGATACACACAGCTGATTATAATGCACGCAGGATTTGCAAGTGCCATAAAATAGGTACAGGGCAGCCGAATTTTATGCAAGGGAAGCAGCCCTGAAAAACCTACATGACATAAAACCTCTATCATTCAAGCCATTCGTCCTATAGAAATTAAAATGAGAGGGGGTTACATTCATAGTAGACAAATAGCTGCAATCATTTTAGCATATTTTTATGTAATTTTCTCAGCATTGTATCTTATGGTACACAGAGTGCTCTCTCACCAATTAACTGCCTGGTAGTTATACGGCCTTCTTCATAATGTTTTATCCCAAATAACTTCTCATTAATTTGGGAGCATGTTTTCTCAGCTCTAGTGTCCCCACTTAATGAATGTTGAAATGACTCTCATGGAATTTTTAAAAAGATTGTAAATTGAAGTAGGAATTGATAATAAAGTGACAGTTTTCTGCTCTGAATTGATGATAGACATTTCAGTTTCCCAGTGAAGCTCCCCCACCAAACCACACGCTGGGTTAAATAAACCCAGCTTACGATTCACTCAACTCAACAGGTTTGAAATTGTCTGACTATCGAAGAATTTTGTTCATTGCAGAGGAAGGAGGGGAAGATTCACATTATTTCTAATGTGTATAAAGAGAGATTTTGTGACTATTTCTATCATAGTATTTAAATTTTGCATAATTCAAATTAGCAAAGTCTTCAACCTCACTGTGCTAAGCAAGTGTGATAGGGTCCCAGAGGGACAGGTCACTTTCAATGAAGCAGGGGATTGATACGGACACCTAGCTGGTCCAGGAGGACTGGCTGTTTACATAAGAGCCATCATCCCTTCTGACTGTTCAATGCCTATGCATTCCCAGTGGCTAAACATGCATCACCTCTAAGTTCAGAGGATGTCACCAGGCTTCTCAAAGAAGAAGGCAGCCAAGCTAGGGAAAAACATCTCTACCCTGATGGCTTTAAAAGATTCACATGAGGCTAATGAGAGAATGCACAACAACACTATTTAAAACTAAAAATCCTATGTGAGCAAAAGGTACTCTGCAGTCTCAGAGTATGTGTGCCAAAGTCGAATAAAACATGATTCCTGCCCTCAAGGAGCCTACAGTCTAACTGGGTCTTTGGACCATGACTAGCCCTAACAGTGTTTTGTGCAAGTAAGAAAGACATGCCCCAAGGACTTGAATAGATATTTCTCAAACATAGACCAATGGCCGTCAAGCACATGAAAGGATTCTCAACATCATTAGTCATTAAGGAAATGCAAATCAAAACCACAATGGAATAGTGCTTCATACCCACTAGGATAGCTTTAATCACAAATATGGAAAATAGCAAGTGTTGATGAGGATTTGGAGAAACTGGGACCCTTATACAATGCTGGTGGGAAAGTAAAATGATGCAGCTGCTGTGTAAAGCAGTTTGGCAGCTCCTTGATAATTTAAACATAGACTTGCCATAGGACCCAGGAATTCCACTCCTAGGTGCATACCCAAAAGAACTGAAAACAGGTGTTCAAACAAAAACTTGTACCTGAATATTCACAGCAGTACTAGTCACAGTAGTTAAAAGTTGGAACCAACCCAAATGGCCATCAACTGATGAATGAATAAATAAAATGTGGTATATTCATACAATTGAATATTATTCAGCCATAAAAAGGAATGAAGTACTGATACCTGCTACGACATGAATGAACCTTGAAAATACTATGCTGAGTGAGAGAAGTCAGACACAAAAGGCCACATCTTGTATGATTCCATTTATTTGAAATAAATGGAATAGGCGAATCTATACAGACAGAAAGCAGATTGGTGGTTGTCAGGGCCTGGAGGAAGGTGGGAATGGGGAGTGACTGCTAATGGGTAGCAGGTTTCCTCTTGGGGTGATGAAAATGTTCTGGAACTAGAGAGTGGTGATGATTGCACAACATTATGAATGTACTAAAATAGTTACCATGGTGACTTTCATGTTACTTGTATTTTACAACAATAAAAAAGGAAGTTCTCCTTCCCCCGACTGCCATAGGCCTGCCTCAAAGCCAGTAGGAAGGAGAATGGGGGTAGATTTCAGTTTCCCTCACCCCTCAGCAGATGCACACCAATGTGACCAGTAGCAGGAAGCCTCAAAGGCTAAAAGAGAAGTGCAGACAGGAGACATCACTGTGAGTTAGCCGAGGTCTGGGCCAGCCTCGAAGGACAGGCCAGAGTCAGCAAGGGGAGAGGTTGTTGCAGACAAAATAAAACTGCAAGGAAAAGGGGCAGGAGGTGTACACTCTTGGAAAGGCAGTTTGGTGAACCATCTTCCTTGGCAAACTACAGAATTTGGACTTCATTTGGCAGAGCAGGGCCTGCAAATGGATTGGGGGCTACCAGGGTGGTGTGTTATTTGGCAGTGCCGTGTGTGTGTGTGTGTGTGTGTGTGTGTGTGTGTGTGTGTGTGTGTTTGATTCAGATTGGCTTAAGGAAGTCTTGTACTTTCTAGCCACAGGCCTGGCCTCACTGCTCCCTCTTACGTTAACCCGGTTCACACATCCATGCCTGGGTATGTAGCGGTGGAGGGGAGCCACCTCTGATCCATCTTTAGAAAGACGAATGGGCTCTTCTTCTCTTGGCCATGCAGCCAAAAGAGCAAAACAAACACAACCTCCGTATCCCCTGTGCTCAAAAGGAGAATGAAACTACGTATTTCCATGGGTTTAGTAGTCATTACCTGACTCTAGCCAGAGAAAATGGTCTGACTGCAGTATCTTCTGGAATGCTCAGAGCCCATGTACTAAGGCAACATAGAGGAGGGGAAAAAAACCCACCTCGACCTCTGACTTAACTGTTAGATGCAGCCAGGGCTGCAGCTCCATCCTTTCCAGACCAGCCAGGCCTGGGATGAGGCAGGAAGAGCAGCAGAGCTGGAGCAAGGCCAGGCAGAGCTGGCTGTAGGAGCCCTGTAGAAACCCTCCAAGGACAAAAGACTGAGTAATTAACTAGAACACTAATCGATTAATGAGCAGGGAGACAATAGAGCCACCACGCACACAGAAATACTTGCGCTCATTATTCATTAGTCCCCAGGAAGAAGTCTCTTTGAGAAAACAAAAGAGCCTTCGGTGGTGGGATGCGCTGAGTCAAAGCAAGATGTAGGCTCCTTTGGATAAGGTCACATTCAGATGTGTGTTTTGTGGTTAAAGTGGGGAAGCTGCCAAGCTAGCTGCCAGCTGTTCAGGAGCCCCCTCTTCTGGACACCGCTGGTACCACACTTTCCCTACAAAACGTTCCTTCATCTGCGGTCATGACATCCATGTTCTCCATTTCAACCTTCTGTAACAAAGTCAGGTTTGAAATTTTATTTTTGTAACTGATAACAGGACGAACTTATTGCTTCCTAATATATGAAGGCCTTTTGATTTCAGGAGCAGGTTATAGATACAATTAAACTGTTGAGCATCTGTTATTATTTCAATATTATCTTTTATAGTCTCTATTTTGATCACTGGTCTCACTTTACTCCAGAAAGGAAAAAATCCTGGAGCTATTTCAAAGAATCAAGATTCCCTGCCTGAGCAGTGTCCTTTCAGTGTGATGCATTTGCAGTGGATTCGTTCATTAGATACACTAATGTCCTGGGAGTTCTTTGTATGTCATGCCTTTGCTATATATTGTTTTCTGGGATGCAAGAATGTCCATCAGACAAAATCTATGATGCCAAGTTATTTTCAGTCATCACTTAAAGCACACGTTATTTCCCCATTCTCTTTGCAGTCCAAGTCCTTGGGTGACAGTAAGAACCGCCACAAAAAGCCCAAGGACCCCAAGCCAAAAGTGAAGAAGCTCAAGTACCACCAGTACATTCCCCCAGACCAGAAGGCAGAGAAGTCCCCTCCGCCCATGGACTCAGCCTACGCCCGGCTGCTCCAGCAGCAGCAGCTGTTCCTGCAGCTCCAGATCCTCAGCCAGCAGCAGCAGCAGCAGCAGCACCGATTCGGCTACCCTGGGATGCACCAAGCTCAGCTTAAGTAAGTCAGGCCAGCCAGGGGTGGTGGCTGCAGGCAGAGGTTGGGAATGGTCTCTCTAACTGAGACACAAGGCCAGCACCTTGGGACCCAGCCAGCCCTATATTGTACCATGTCCTCATTCAGTATGTCTGGAATATGATTCAAGAAACCTTGCACACTTTTTCAGGGCATATGGCTGGGAGGAAGCAAATATGATAGTCCTCCTTTATCCAAGCGGGATGTATTCCAAGACCCCCAGTGGATGTGGGGGTCTTGGAAACTTTGGATAGTACCAAACTCTATCTACATGCCTACGATAAAATTTGATTTGTAAATTAGGCACAGTAAGAGATTAACAATAATAACTAGCAATAAAATGAAATAATTATAACAATACACTGTAATTAAATTTATGTGAATGTGGTCTCTCTCTCTCTCAAAATATTTATTGTACTATACTCATCTATTTTCGGCCCATGGTTAACCACAGGTAACTGAAATCTTGGAAAACAAAATTGCAGGAAAGAGGGGACTATTGTAAATCAATGCCCCTTGAGGAAAAAGGAAAAGTATTAACACTTCCAAATTGGATTGTGTAACATAGAAGAATGTGTAACATAGAAGAATGTGATATCGGAATTGTGAGCAATTCCAATACACTTCTGCTTTTGGAAGCAACAGAGCTGAACAGCAGGGAGACAGCCTCAAAAATTGACTCCTGAGGCCAGGTTATGTGACCACTTTGCTAGGTCACCTTTTAAACAGTCAGTATCCCCACCTATAATTTTGAGATGTGGGTTCCTCACATGTTTCTGGTCATCCTCAGGCCATGCTGGCAATTATGTTGAGCACTGAACACAACCAAGCTTCACCAGCCATGCTATCCAGGAGATGGACATGCCCTCTCCCATGTGCCATAGTCCCCACCTCTTGTCTCCCCAAACAAAGCTCTAGGGTCACCTGCCACTCGCCATCTAGCCTGCGCTGTTGTTTCTCTTCATCCTGCCCTCTTCTGCTGATTTATTACCTGCCTGATCCTTGTAGGCAATTACTTTGTGATTTGATCTAAATTCAAGCGATCTTACATATATTTGATCATATTTAAGTGCCTCTTTGTTTGTTTTCTAGAGAACCAAATGAACAGATGGTCAGAAATTCAAACTCTTCTTCAACACCACTGAGCAATACCCCCTTGTCCCCTGTCAAAAACAGTTTTTCTGGACAAACTGGTGTCTCTTCTCTCAAACCAGGCCCACTCCCACCTAACCTGGATGATCTGAAGGTAGAGGATTTTACATGATTTTCTTTTTTCTTTTTTTAATAAATACAATAGTATATTGTTAACAGCATTGTTGCCTACTGATTCTTTAGTGAGAGTGGGAGGAAAGAAAAATATGGGAGACATTCAAGGGAGTGATAGAATTTATGCTGCTGTGTTTGAATACCCTGCTTGTCTTAGTCCATGTTGTGCTGCTATCAAAGAACTGAAACTGGGTAGTTTATAAAGCAAAGGAAGTTATTTCTCAGTTCTAGAGGCTGGGAAGTCCAAGGGCATGGCACCAGCATCTGGCAAGGGTCATCCCATGGCGGAAGGGTGGAAGGTAGAAGGGCAAAAGAGGACAAGAGAAGGTGAGAGCATGTGAGACAGAGAGAAAAGAGGGTCAAACTCCTGTGATAATGGCATTAATAGACTCATAATGGTGGAGCTTTCATGACAAAAATCACCTCCCAAAGTCCCCACTTCTTAACATAACCACAATGGCAACCAAGTTTCCAGCACATGAATTTTGGGGGGACACATTCAAACCATAGCATGGAAGAACAGAGGATTATAGGCCCTTAGCTCAGCTTTCACAGGCCATGCAAACTGGAGCTAGTTTTTACATTTTTCTGATTCTCAGGTTCCTCATTTGTATAAATGAGTTATTGTGAAAGTCAAGTGAAATAGTAGATACATAATGGAGCTTAGCACAGATTAGGTGTGAGATTGATATAAGCTTCCAGAATTCTCTAAACCAGTGGTCAACTCCATGATGAATTTTTACCAATTTCTGATGAAATGAGAAAAATAAGAACCATGTAAAGAGCTTTTCATAAATCTAAGTGTGTTCCACATATCTAACTAACCTTTCTTCAAAGTATATATTTCCTCCTAATGTTTTGAATCTTAAAATAGCCTTTCCATTAGGAAATAATGATGGTAGTGAATAGAAGTTGAGTGTTTTGGATAGGGTTTTATTTGTTACTTTTTATTAAATATATAATTAAATAAGGATCTTAGTTCTTACTGAGCAAGATAAAATGTTGATAACCCAGCTGAGTGCAGTGGCTCAAGCCTGTAATCCTAGCACCATGGGAGGCTAAGGCAGGGGGATCACTTGAGGCCAGAAGTTTGAGACCAGCATGAGCAGTATATCAAGACCCACGTCTCTACAAAAAATAGAAAAATTAGCTATGTGTGGTGGCATGCACCTGTAGTCTCAGCTACTCAGGAGGCTGAGGCAGGAGGATCGCTTAAGCCCAGGAGTTTGAGATTACAGCGAGCTATGATGACTCCATTGTACTTTCGCCTTGGCAATAGAGCAAGACTCTATCTCCAAAAAAAAATTGGTAACCTGATGTCAATAATATAATTTAATTATTTTCAATAATATAATTATAATTGAAATCCCCAAATCGGGGAACTTCTGCCCTGAAGCACAGCAGCATGTTGTTAAAGGATGTATGTGTGCTAGCAACTTCCTGCGGCGGGTCACATGGATCTCAGCCCACTGAAATGACACTGACCTTTGAGTTGAAGCTGAGTCCTTTCAGCAACCCTCAGGACCTGCATATCCATCCCTCTATCCAGCATTCACAATACAACTGGAAAAGGTGAATGCACTATCCTTTGACTTTTCAAACTTGTGAGCACAATTCAATTCCTCATCCCGTTTTCAACGATTACTCCTGTTTACCTGGTTTTTACCCTACCTATTACTCTCCCCAAAGGATCTTATAATTTTTCCCAAAAAACAAATTCCTAAAGGTCCCTATAGCTTTCATCATGCCAATCTTATGGCCCCTCCTCAGTGCTCAATGCTTGTGTATACCTTCATTCCCACTCTCAGTCCTCAGTCATTATTTTCTTCAGGGAAAAAGGTAGGATTGTGTTTATTTCAAATCAAAGGAAATTCTGTGGCTGCCAACCACCAATACCAGCAAATAAGATATATAATGGGTCTTGACATCAAAGCCTCCTCTATTCCTTCCATGTGTATTAAAAATGTGTAGTTTCTTTTTTTAAATTTATTTTTAAATTTCAGAATATTATGGGGGTACAAACATTTTGGTTACATATACTGCATATGCACCACTCAAGCCAGAGCTACAAGCATGGTCATCCCCCAGACAGTGTGCTCCACACCCATTAGTTGTGAATTTACCCATCACCTCCAACCCCCCCACCTGCCTGACACCCGATGCATGTTACTTCCATGTGTGCACATAAGTGTTGATCAGTTACTACCAATTTGATGGTAGTGGTGCTTGTTTTTCCAGTTCAAAGGAAGGTCTCTAGCTCCATTCAGGATAATACAAGAGGTATTAATTCACCATTGTTTTTTATGGGTGAGGTTTCACTGAACATGTTTTAATTTAGTATCCATAAAACTAGAAGAGGACACCAAGCTTATGATAATGCTCCCTGGAACCATGGGTCATCCACTCTCCACTCCCCGAATTATAAATTCATAGAAATAAAAGTAGGCGATTTCACCTTGCAAGAATTTTGCTAAGTGAAATATTTAATAAGCCAGACACAAAGGGACCAATACTGTATGATTCTGCTCACAAGAGGGACCTTCATAGACAGAAAGTATGGTGGCTACTAGGGGATGGCAGGAGGGGAACACAGAAGAGTTGTTTAGTGGAGACAGAGTTTCCATCTGAGATGATGAAAAGTACTGAAGGTGGAGGGTTGTGATGATTGCACAACCTCGTAATGTACTTAATGCCACTGAACTGTACACTCAAAATGGTTGCATGATAAACTTTGTTATGCTTATTTTACCACCATAAAAAATATTTTTTTAAGTAGCCTATCTCTGGATGGAAGCCCTGGATCAAGTAGGACTGGAGGTGCCTTAGCCCCAGGGAAACATGGCCCAGACATGGTGCCATGTGTCTGAGCCCCCAGAGGCACTTCTGTCCATGTGCACATGCTCAGAATCACCCACTGGCAATGGTGCTAATAATTAGCACAGGTCTAAGGAGATGATGGTGATGGTGATAGAGGCTACCATTTTTTGAGCATGAACTATCAGTCAGCCATTCCCTATAGATTTGCTTTAATTTTCACCCTGCAAAGTAAGTTTTATCTTTCCAATTTAACAAGTGAAAATCAAAATCAAAATTTTTTAAAAGTTATGTGATAAGCAAGTTAACCAGCTTATAAATGACAAAACTGGGGCTTGCACCTAAGGGACTGAATTCAAGGACTTTGCTGTTGTCATGAGAGTTGAGAATGGGAAGGGCAGGATGGACAGGCGGGACCTTGGATGGACTTAACCACTCACTGTGTGTATGGGGAGAGGCGTCACCTGCACCCCGGGAGAGCCACACCCATGGCAGAAAGAGGGACGTTAGAGTAGGGGGCTGATGTGAAGGTATGGTGGCAAGTTCATTCGGTTTGGAAAAGCCGAATTGCAGGTACCAATAGGACACCCTATTGGGTGTCTAGACTGGTGTCTAGCAAAAGTGAGTGTCTGGAAAAAGTCTAGCCAGCTTCTATCGGTAAGAAGGAGCCAAGTTGTGTTGTCAGGGGTAGGAACAGAAACTTCAGAATTGTGTGCAATGTGGGGAGGGTTGGAGCTAGAAGGCTGAATGAGGTTGAGGAAGAGCAAAATGGGAAGAGAGAAAGGGAAGGAAGGAGAGGGGAGGGAAGGAGAGATGAGGAGTAAAGGAAGCATACGATGCAACCCCAATTAGGGAAGGGGAGAAATAAGAGGAACTGATGAAAGTGATCCCCCCAAATAGTAATCTGAAAGGTAGTACAGTGAAGGTCACGTTTTCAAGAACTGTTCATGTGTTGATACATACATAAAAGTAAAATAATAAATAATTGTTCATATTTAAAATGTGGTAACTGTATTTTATCTATGTCTTTTTTTAAGAGTACTTATCTTTTAGAGATAGAGACCAAAATATTTAGAGATGAAATTACATGATTTGCTTCAAAATAATTCAGGAAAGATAGGGGCATAAGTGAGTTGGAGTATAAAAGAAATAAGATTGGTCGTGAGTTGATAATTGTTGAAGTTGGTTGATAAGTACATGGGGTTCTTTAGACTTTTCTATCTATTTTTGTGTATGTTTGAATGTTTCCATAATAAATAGCTTTAAAAGTTATCCATGATTATCCATCAGCGAATCTAGCAAAGAGATGTATACAAACCTTTGTGCCAAACAAGCCCATACAGCACAATATTCTGAAATTTAAGGTAAATTGAACTCAACCAGTATTCATTTTATTTTAGACTATGAGCTGCATTATTTAATAATGTAGTTTAAATTATTCAGTGCCAGAAAAGATTCTAAAAATAAATGTAGGACCCATTAATTTTAAGTAATTCAAAATTAAAACAATAATGAGTTGCCATTTTGTGCTTTTTCAAACCAGCAAGTCTAAAAGAAAATGATAAAATAATGCCAGCAAGACTATGGGGGAAATAGCATATTTATTGCTAGTATAAGTTAATTCAATCCTTTTTTGATAACTTTTAGCTGATATATAAAGTAAAATATATATTCACTGTTGAAATATGATAGTGTATAGAAAAATAAACAGTATTTTAAAAGATAATTAAGACTCTCCGAAAGCATTACAGATTATATTTCCTTCTAGATTGAAAATGCATACTAACGTATTTTTTTCAAAATAATTTAAAAAAATTTATGTGCACATAAATTTCTGGCATATTTTTTCTTAACACATCATGAACATTTTTTATGACTTTCAATATTCAATAAAATTTCTATTTTTAATAGCAGCATATCATTCCACCACCTACTTAACATTTCACTGCTGGACATTTAACTAGCTGCCAAATTTTTGTTATTCGGAATATGATTTCAGTGACCTTTGTGCATACATTTATTAATTTCTCTGGTTATTTCCCCAGGCTAACTACATGGGAATGAGGTTGCTGAATTAAAATATATTAGTATTTTTTAAAGTTCTGGACACATATTGCTGAATTTCTGTCCTAAACGTTTACGCCAGCCTCTTCCCAGAAGCAGCATGTTAATGCAGCACTTCTCAAACATTACTGTGTGCACAGATCGCCTGGGCTCTCGTTAACATGCAGGTTCTGATTCAGCAGGTCTGGGGAGGGACCTGAGATTCTGCACTTCTAACTTGCTCCCAGTGAATATCAATACTGCTGGTCCAAGTACCACAGTTTGAATAGCCAGGTATTAAAGAGCTATTCTCTTTTTTAAAAACATTTTTATGTATGTATTTTTGCTGCTACTTCCCTGACACAAAGTGTTGTTATTCATTTCTTCCTCAATTTAATAAACAGAAACATCTGTACATATTCATTTTATTTGTGTTTCTTGTATCACTGATGATAGTATACATATATTATTGGCCATATTTTAAATTTTATTTTTGTTTGTGAAGAGCTGGATCATATCCTCTGCCCTTTTTTATATTGGGTATCAATCTTTTTCTTTTTAATTGATAAGCACACTGGATACACTAAGATTTTTAACATTTTATTTGGGCTGCAATTATTTTTTTCCCCAAGATAGCTATTTGTGTTTTCATTTTGTTTATAGTTTTTGGACGTAAGTCTTAACCGTTGTTTTCAATATTTTTATGATTACTTTCTTTCCTTTTATGCTCGAAAGATATTTCCCTACAGAATATCAGAAGAATATTTCCATAGTTTTCTGTTTTACAAAACTATTAAAATTTAGGTATTTAATGTTTCCTGTTTTAATTACAGAATTAATATATTTATGTGAAATATTTAGAGCCTACAGTTAAGGAGAACCATTATTAATATTTGAGCATATGTTTATGTAGATACTTTTATATGTAAGCATAGGTTGAAATATATACATATACATACACTGTTTATATAATTTTTAGAAAAATAGAATCAATTTAAACTTTTTTTCACTTAATAATATACCATAAACAATTATTCATCATCCAATGTCAACAAATACTTATAACATCAGTTTTTTGTTTTGTTTTCTTTTGTGTTGTTTCGAGACAGGGTCTCCCTCTATTGCCCAGGCTAGAGTGCAGTAGCATTGTCATGGCTCACTGCAGCCTCCAATCCTGGGCTCAAGTGATCCTCCCGAGTTGGCCTCCCAAAGTGCTAGGATTACAGGCATGAGCCACTGCGCCCGGCCTATAACGTCAGTTTTAATGGATCTGAAGTATTCCATGATTTGCATACTCATCATTCATCTAACCAGTTCTCACACTTGTGGATATTCAGAGTTTTCAATTTATGAGCATTATAAAAACTGTGGGGATAACATGTGAGTCAACATAATATTATAATAATAGTAAACCCTTGAATTACACAACTGTTTGCCAGACAGTCCAAGTGCTTTACAAATTTTAAGCCATTTTAACCTTTGCAAATCTGTATCAGGTAGGTATGATTACCTCCATTTCACAGAAGGGGAACTGAGGCACAAAGTGATTGTTGAGCTAATAGCAGGAAGGGTCAGAATTCGGATGGATGATCTTATCACCAGTACTCTCCCTCCGTTTATGACTATTATCCAGCCAGTCATCTAAACTAGGACGTACATGTTAACATGGGGCCCATGGTTCTCAAAGTCAACTCCAGACTTGACCTGCGCTTGGCTGCGCTTTGGGCCTGTTGTTTGAGGACTTGTGTCTAAACCCAGGCAGAAACATGGATAGGTAAAAAAACAATTGTTAAAATTGGGCAAAACCAATTTATATTAGGGATAGGAGATGAAATTGGAAAGAAGTATTAAACAGAGGTGGATATGGTAAAATTGCATTTGTGATGTTTTAAAGCTCATCGTATTAATGCAATAAGCACACTTTCGAAGACGTTGTTGTTAGCGAGCGTACTGACAGCGTCCTGGTTTGTTTAGGTCTCTGAATTAAGACAGCAGCTTCGCATCCGGGGCTTGCCCGTGTCAGGCACCAAGACGGCCCTCATGGACCGGCTCCGGCCCTTCCAGGACTGTTCCGGCAACCCGGTGCCGAACTTCGGGGACATAACGACGGTCACTTTCCCGGTCACCCCCAGCACGCTGCCCAGTTACCAGTCCTCCCCGTCCACCGGCGCCTTGTCCAACGGCTTCTACCACTTCGGCAGCACCAGCTCCAGCCCCCCGATCTCGCCTGCCTCCTCCGACCTGTCCGTGGCCGGGTCCCTGCCGGACACCTTCAACGACGCGTCCCCCGCCTTCGGCCTGCACGCGTCCCCGGCCCACCTGTGCGCGGAGGAGGCGCTGGCGGGCGGCCTGAACGGGGCCGAGCCGGACGGGCCGGACTCCGAGAAGGACAAGATGCTGGTGGAGAAGCAGAAGGTGATCAACGAGCTCACCTGGAAGCTGCAGCAGGAGCAGAGGCAAGTGGAGGAGCTGCGGATGCAGCTGCAGAAGCAGAAGAGGAGCCACTGCCCCGAGCAGAAGCCGCTGCCCTTCCTGGCCGCCCCCATCAAGCAGGAGGAGGCCGTCTCCAGCTGTCCCTTTGCGTCCCAGCGAGTCTCGGCGACACGGCAGGGCGGCAGCGCGGAGAGCCCGGCGGTGCAGGCCTGCGGCGCCGCCCCTCTCCCGGGCCCGGGACTCGCGCACTGCGCGGAGCCCTCGGCTCAAACCGGGGTGCTCTCCTCCACGTTCCTCAGCCCGCAGTGCTCCCCGCAGCACTCGCCGCTCGGGGCGGTGAAGAGCCCTCAGCACATCAGCCTGCCCCCGTCGCCCAACAACGCCTACTTCCTGCCCGCGCCCGCGGGGGCTGCGGCCGAGGCGCCTCGGCTCTCCCCGCCCGCCGGCAGCCAGGCCTGCCCCGCACAGGTAAGGCGCCGCACCGGGCCACCGGGCCACCAGGCCACCAGGCCGGGCACGCTCCCTCTGCACTTGTGGGGTGCGGGCTTCCAGCCACCCGAGCTGATGTTGGAACTTCCAAGGCCCAGGGCCGACTTCCAAGGCCCAGGGCACCTCCCAGAGCCTTCGCAGTAGCCCAAACTCATCCTCCAAGGCTTCGCAAACTTGCTCTGTAAAAAGTGAATACGTTTGGCTTTGCGGGTCACGCCGTCTGTGCCGCAACCGCTCCGCTTTGCCCCTGTGTCAGGAAAGCAGCCATAGACATCTCGTAAGTCAATGCACATGGCTGTGTTCCGATAAAACTTTATTTACAAAAACAAGAGGTGAGCAAGACTAGGCCTCTGGGCTGTGGTTTGCTGACAGTGGCTCTCAGGACTCCTTGGTGTCAAACCTTACCATAGGCCAACCAGTTCCTCAAGAGGGCCAAAGGGAAGTCACCAGATTTCACTCTGCTCTGTGTGTAATGACCTGCATAGTGCAGATATTCACCGAGCACCTGCTGTGTGTCAGGCCCTGTTCTAGTCTCTGGGCATTCGTGCTGAACTAGCCAAACAGAAATCCCTTTTCTCATGGGAAAACAGTAAGCAAAATTTAAAAGTAATTTATATGATGTATTAGAAGATGGCACATCTTATGGAGAAAAAGTGGGAAAGGAGATGTGAGGAATTTGCAGTTTGCCACTTTAAATAGAAGGGCCAGGGACATTTGAGCAAAACTTTGAAAGAGGTAAAGGCAAGCATCCTGTGGATATTTGGGGTGAAAGCATTGAAGGCAGAGGAGGGACAGCAAGTGCAAAGGTCCTAGGGTTGGAGCCTGCAGGAAATGTTCAAGGATCAGAAAGAAGGCCAGTGTGGCTGGAGCAGAATGAGAGGAAGGTCATAGGAGGTGGCTTGGAAGAGTTACTAATTCAAAGACTAGACCAAGGTGATCAGAAAAGATTTTCCTTTTGCACATGAAGCTGAAGAATTACTAGGAAAGTCTATATAAATCTATTTGAGAAAGAAAATTACACCATCAAAAGGTTCTAAAATCTATATTAGAAAAGGAATAGGAAGAAAACTCACATTAATTAGATACTTGCCACATGTCAAATAGTAAGAGGCATATATATAAGTAATCTCATTAATTGTTACAACAACGCTATGACCTCCAATTTATTATTGTGTGTTTGCTGTTGAGGAAAACGAGGCTCAGGGAGCTTAAACCACTTGGCCAGGATCACGCAAACCAAGATCAGTAGATTCTAAAGTGTGTGCCCCTTTCACATGGAATATCTCCGCTCTGAGAGTATGAGGCATGGCAAAAGGCAATGGGAATAAATTTTTACAAACCTACCAGAACAACACATTCCAGCAAATGCTGCCCACTCCTCAGGGGGCACTGCGAGAGGAACCGGGGCTTAAATGGACTGTCGTCATCATTAGCAAACATTTCTTGAGTGCATACTGTCTGAGACAACGAGGGTAAAAATCATACTTGAGACACAGCTCTGGACCAAACTTTCAATTCTGATGATATTGGTACTCCCAAGAAGAACTGTGGTTTACAAAGATTCTTTGAAGACATTAAAACTTTCATGATAAAAAGATAAAGAACAATAGAAGATAACATGACCGATCCACACTTAGGACACTAAATACTGCACCAAATTGACGGGGGAGGGGGCAGATTGATCACAAGGGCTAGAAAGGTCCAGGAAGCTTTTGCAGTGGGGTTGGTCTGGTGGGAAGTGTAGCATTAAAAAGTAGAGAAGCAGGAAAGGACACTCCATGTGAACAAAGATGGGGAGGTAGAATATACGGGGCCTGTTGTGGGAGGTGTGTGGCAGCTACAGTAGAATTTAAACTGTTGAGTCTTGAGCACTTCTCCAGGTTAGAAGTACAGAAGTACAGACCCTATGCTGGAGATACGTGGGAGCCACTGGAAGTCTTTGAGCACTAGGTGATATGTACAAAACCAAGAGTTTTAGGCAAGCTCATTTGGTAATGGAATTTAGGAAGGCTTGCAAAGATAAGACACCAGGGGACACAGGGCAGGGCAAAGGCCCCACTCAAGTAAGCCACTGCTGACCATTTAATGTGTCACTTCTTCCTTTCTACAGAACTCAGGGGCACACGATGGCCATTCTCCAAGCTTTGCTTCCCATTCTTCCAGCCTCTGCCCACCTTTCTCTGGAGCCCAGGCAGATAGCAGTCACGGTCCCGGGGGCAACACTTGTCCAAAAAGCCCGGGTGTACAGCAAAAGGTAGGCACCTGGAAAAAGGTTTAAACCTGGAATTAACTTTGGCTCTTCTCCCTTCTGTGGCCCTGTCCTCCAAAATGAATGATGAGGTTTCCTTTAAAGGCAGAGTTAAATTTCATTTTAGCAAGAAGCAAGTCCACTAGAAATGCATGGAAATGGATATACACGTGTGAGTTAGGAGGTATCCCAAGGAGTCATCTCCTAGGTTCATCCCAGAAATCATGATGACTAAAATGGCCACAGTATTTCTATGGCAGTCTGTATGAAGTTGCATTTTGGAATCAGGGTATATGGGAAAGTAATGCTCGAGAAGGAGGGAGGTATATGGATCCGTAGCCAGGACTGTAAAGGTCCAGAAAGTTGGGGTCACAGTGCATCTCTGTGGAAACAGGAAGAGATGGAACTCGTCAGCCGGTGCAAGGTATCAGGCTGTATGGGATCCTGGCTATGGGGTTTTCTAGAACGGAAGCAGTATCGTTTCTGACCATGAATTGAATGCTTTTCTCTGTATTCTACCCACACAGATGGCTGGCTTACACTCTTCTGATAAGACAGGGCCAAAGTTTTCAATTCCATCCCCAACTTTTTCTAAGTCAAGTCCAACAGTTTCAGAGGTAACACAGCCTCCCTCCTATGAAGATGCCGTAAAGCAGGTAACTGTGTGATTTGTTCTTTACAGAAGAATAGACTACATGGACACTGTGTCGTATTATTAAACTTTGTGCAGTTTGTAAATTCTCATATTAAGTGTGTCGGGAGTCTCCCCACCAGAAAGAGCAAAGGACCTAGATACTAACTATAGTCAGGTGTTGCAGGTGTATAGAAGGTGTGGAAGGCAGAGAGAGAGGAGGTTTACGTGCCCAGCCTTGGTGCCCAGCTCTGCCCCCTGCCGGCTGCCATTTCCACTAAGGTTGGGCCAATATTCCACTTCTATAAAATAGGGACGAGATTTACTGGTAAGGATTCTGGATAATCTAGTATTTACCACATTTTTCGGGCACGTGATAGATACTCGAAGATATGAGAGCAATTGTCAGGGCAGTACTTTCTAAGGCTCCTTCTAGCTAGAAAATTCAGTGATGTTGGCAAAATATTGGTGGTCATTGAAGCTGGGTAATGAATGCAGGGAGGTTCATTGTATCTTCTGCTTTCATTTGCATCTGGAAAGTTTCAAGATAAAAAAGTAAGAAAAAGAAAGACAATTACTGATCTTATATTTCAAGTGGTCTGAGCGTGGGTGAGGTATCAGAGAGCTTTTCCTGTGTGCTCAACCCGGAAAGAAAGTCTACATCAGTTGCTGCAGGCTGGTATCCCACAGATACCAGTAGCCTACAGTTAAGTATTGTTTGGCTTAGAGAGTGTTTTAAATATCAGGACATGTTATGCAAAGTGGGCCTGCTCATTTCTGAAAAACTAGAGAATCTGGCAACCGGGAGCCACATTTCCACCAGACAACAATCGCCTAAAGCGAAGTGTCCCCTGTCACTTAGAGCCTCAGCTGTGCACTGCTTTCTACCTCTCTTTCTTATTCTATACTTGGCCCATTTACGTCCCCTGCCAGACCCCACAGGTATCTCGTACCTTCTGGACTGGCAAACGACTCATTCTTTGATCAGTGCCCTCGTCTGTATTGACAATTAGTGCCTATGTTATAGGGTTTGGGCTCGCAGAGTTGTAGGACAGATGTATGCCTTGTCCTCCCCATTCCCTTTCCCTGGTATCTGTAAACATCAGCTGATCCATCACAGTTTCCAAAGAAAAAGGCCAGGCAGAGTGGACTTCCAGAAATAAGAGAGAGGAGGGGTGTGCCCTACCAGTGTCTACAGGATCAAGCTATTGCAATGAGGAACCAACAAAATATGAGCCCCATTCTTGGGCCAAACCCACAGATTTCAAACAAGAAATAGATTTGAGTCACTTTAAAATGAGCAAAAGCTATTTTCTGTGTATTAGGGTGCCCTACACCTGGGGTGGAAACCTCTCAAACTACTGAGTTTACTCTATAGTACTCCAAGCTGGGAAGCACTCTGCCTTCTTTTCCCCTTCTCTTGTTGTAGTAGATTGTTTCATTCAGTAGTTTACTTGCCTAAAATCAATGCTGAGATTTAATGAAACATCATTCAAAAACCTTCAGCCAGTACACCCATGTTCACAGCAGTATTATTCACTGTAGCCAGAAGGTGGAAACAGCCCAGATCCACTGACAGATCAATGAATAAACAAAATGTGGTCTATTCATACAATGGAGTATTATTCAGTCTTAGAAAGGAGGAACATTCTGACGCATGCTACAACATAGATGAACCTTGAGGACATGATGCTAAGTGAGATAAGCCAGTAACAAAGGACGAATACTTTATGATTTCACTTATGTGAGGGACCTGGAATAGTCAAATTCATAGAGACAGAAAGAAGAATGGGGATTGCCAGGGGCAGGGGGTGGAAAAACAGGGGTGAGAAGTTATTGTTTAACAGGTGCAGAGTTTTAATTTTGCAAAATGGAAAGAGTTCTGGAGATTGATGGTGGTGATGGTCGCACAACAGTGTGAATGTACTTGATGCCACTTAACTATACACTTAAAAATGGATAAGATAGGCCAGGTGTGGTGGCTTGTGCCTATAATCCTAACACTTTGGGAGGCCAAGGCAGGAGGATCACTTGAAGCCAGAAGTTCAAAACCACTCTGAGCAAAAGGGAGACCCCCCATCTCTACAAAAAATAGAAAAATTTGCTGGGCATTGTGGTACATGCCTGTAGTCCCAGCTACTTGGGAGGCTGAAGCAGGAGGATCCTTTGAGCCCAGGAGCTTGAGGTTGTAGTGAGCTGTGATGATCCCACTGCATTCTAGCCAGAGTGAGACCCTGTCTCCAAAAAAAAAAAATGGTTAAGATAGTAAATTTTAAGTCATGTGTATTTTACAACAATTAAAAATAAATAAATAGACATGAACCAAATCTAGTTCAAAAACCTAGCACTGTTTCTAATGATTTCCTATAGAAGTAACCACTTTCTAACTTCTCTATTCTCATTTGGTTAATTTATAATAGCAAATGACTCGGAGTCAGCAGATGGATGAACTCCTAGATGTCCTCATTGAAAGTGGAGGTAAGACCGCCTCGTGTCCCATCCATCAGGACACTCTGAGCATACTCTAGGGAATGAGCTCTTAGGGCCAAGGTCAGGTGCATTCTGTGAGTCATATGTACCAGGTAGTCCACAGGTAGAATTATTTCCTCTGAACTTCCTATGCACTTTCGGAGCAGATAAAAGAAGGCATAGTGGATGCTTCCTCACTGCCTTTGTGCTAGGAACATTTCTTACCAATCATTTGAACAGTTTTTATTTTTCAGCCCAATCCCTATTTCCCTAAATGTTTTCTCTTGCTACACTATTTCTTTCTGCTGTTCTAATCTCAACGTCCCTGTCTTCTTGATTTTAAGAATAAGAACAAAGCAATAATGAAAGCTTTGTGCTACCTACCCTCAAAATGAAATTCAATTAGTAATCTTCTGCGGGATAGTCCATTCAGGCTTAAATGTTATTCAAGCTAGCAATAAAAGATAATCAACAAGTTCTTTTTGCCTCCTTTTAATCCACTTGTTTATTTATTTCAAGAAACATTATAGAGTGTATACCTACAATTTGAAAACATATAAATGAGTAAGATAACCTAAGGAGGATGTGTAGGTAAAAAGAAAGAGCTTGGGACTGAACTCTTAAGCAACCACATTTAAAGTTTCAGGGAAAGAGGCAGCAAAGGACTCTGAGAGGGGTGGCAGGCACTGTTCTAGGCTAAATGCCGCACCCGGCAAAGGCCCCACCTTTCTGGAGTTCACGGTCTGGTATGGGAGGTGGACAACAAGCACGTGAACAGACATTTCCTCCATTGCCACAGGACAGGGATAGGTACAGGTGTGTGTATGTGGTAAGTTTTGTGATTGAAAGAGGACAGCGTTCACGTCAAATACACTTGTATTTTTTTAATGACGTATGTGGCAAGAACAGCAAAAAGTGAGGGTGCAGGAGGGGAGGATGGGAGATTCAAGAAAAGAAGGACAGTTATGAATTTTAATCACGGGTGAATTTTCTAGAGAAACATGGTAGGATTGTTAGGCAGCCTTAAATGCCAGTTGCAGACTTGACAACTTGAATCTAAAGTGAAAGCAGTTGGCTTCGTTGCGTAACTTTCCTCTTGAAATGTTCTGCTGGTCCAAGGCAGGCTTGGAGAGGGCAGATGGTGAGGTTCATCCAGGTGTGGGGTTTTGCCAGGGGTGTGCAGTGAAAGGAGGGTATCTGTGACAGTGTAACTGTCACAGTGGCTCAGAGATTGTTGGCTGGACAAGGAAAGAGGTGAAACCTGCAAGGGCCTGGTGAGCAGTGATGAAATAGTAGAGGCAGTGGATTAGTAGTAGAGGCCTGAGTCCAAGTGGCTGAGGAGTGATTGTCAGGAGGGTATTTCATCCATGACCTGGAGGGAGGGGATGGGGATGAACAGAGAGTGGCAGATTTTGCTGGAAATTGCGCTTTCAGAGGGCTACAGGGCATGTGTGACAGGGTGGGGACAGACGCATCGCTGGAGTTGCGGGGGGAGTGAGACCCTGGGAGGCCCCGGGGATTCCGAGGACGGACGCTGAAGTCACAGAGAATGCGCGCAGTTGGAGTGGCGCCAAGATGATGGACTGGGGAGTAGAGTTTGCGGTGGATACGGACTGACTGGGAGGCTGGGGACGGAGACCCAAAGCCCAGAACCAGTGCAGAGCTATGAGAAGTTGGGCAGGGGGACAATCTGAACGTGGCGGTGGGCGGGTACCCGTCACTTCCCATCAGGCCCCCACCAAGGATTGCGGAGGATGCAGCCAGGGCTCAGAGGGCAGAGTTTGATCATCACAGACCAGAATTCCCAGAACAAAAGGGTTGGGGAGCGAATTGGGGATACATTATGCACAGCAGTTCAGGGATGAGGCCATGAGCAGCAACCAGGGCAGTGTCTAAGCATTCCAAAGACGCACACAGTGTGGCGTGTGCAATTTGAAGTGATTTAACGATTCACACTGTGTTTCACTGACAGAAATGCCAGCTGATGCCAGAGAGGATCATTCGTGTCTGCAAAAAGTCCCGAAGCTACCCGGGCCTTCCCGGAGCCCAGCCGCCGTCCTCCCCAAGCCCTCTGCCTCCTTCGAACAAGCGTCTTCAGGAGGCCAGATGCCCTTTGACCACTACGCCACCGACAGCGATGAGCACCTCGAAGTCCTACTAAATTCCCAGAGCCCCTTAGGAAAGGTGAGTGACGTCGCGCTTCTGAAAATTGGGGGCGAGGAGCCTGCTTTCGACGGGATCGTGGATGGGTTCTCCGGGAAGGCTGCGGAAGACCTCTTCAGTGCACACGAGATCTTGCCAGGCCCCCTGTCCCCGATGCAGACACAGTTCTCACCCTCCTCCGTGGACAGCAGCGGGCTGCAGCTGAGCTTCACCGAGTCTCCCTGGGAAACCATGGAGTGGCTGGACCTCACGCCACCTAGTTCCACACCCGGCTTTAGCTCCCTGGCCACCAGCGGCCCCAGCATCTTTAACATCGATTTCCTGGATGTCACGGATCTCAATTTGAATTCCCCCATGGACCTTCACTTACAGCAGTGGTAGAACACCTGGCGCACAGGCGCTGAGGAAGACCAGGAGGAATTCCCTGGGGAAATGCATGCAACCATAAATGCTTATAATATCCAAAAGAAGAAGAAGGAGTGAATCTAAGAGAAGCAACGGAGGCTTCTGTGACAATCGACAAGAACAAATAGGAGTCAATTTTTAAAATACATATCATGTAATATTTACCAGCATTCAGTACCTGTTAATGATTTATTTCAGCAATGCAATCAAAAATTTGCTTTCTCAGATTAAGGCTGCCAAAAAAAAAATTCTTTCACTGCCTTTTCAAATGTCAGTATTTTTTTAGCCCATCATTTTTCTCAGGCATTGTTGGGGCATAAGCTTTTCCCATGAGCTTACTAGACATCCTGTGGGAAGAAAATGTAAAGTGTTTGGGGCGTACAGGGAAGCCAGCCCCCCCAAAGGTTATGGAAGACACACCATGGTGGAGGCCATGACCCGGGTCTCCATGGCCTGTCTTTTAAGAGACGCTAGACCCAGCATCAGTTAAAGAGCTCTTGAGACAGAATCAAGGGACAGAACCAATCCGTTCCCAGGGAAGCAAAGTCAGCTCAGTTGCCCTCTGCCATAGAACTGCCCCACCAGGGCGGTTCCGATCCTGTAGCCAGGACTCTGTGGTCACTGATAACAACTAACCTGCCTTGAGTCCAGAGAACTCCATCCAGAACTTTCTTCTCCTTAAGCCAGTGGCCCAGTCATTCCCACCGTCTCTGTGCGGATAAGCATGTGTCATAGGTGAGGACCCTGAAGCAGGAAAAGCTCCTGCCCCTGAACGAGATGCCTCAGCTTCTCCAGCCCAGCCCCCTTTCGTTCCAAAGACCACAGGGGCAGACGGAAAGTTACCTGCAGGCACAGGAGGCGGCATCAGGGATCACTCAGACAGGCCTAGGGAACAGCAGCGTTTCACATACGCTGGGAAACATACCGTGGGTTACTGTAACACTTATGGAGGCCCAACTTCTTTTTTCATTCTCTTATTATCAGTTTTTCTCCCATTCCACTCTTCTTTCACGATATCAATCCATTCTTGCTCCTCTCTTGACAATCTTTCTTTTTCTGCCCCAACATTGGGAGGGGAGGACTTCTCAGTTCTCACAAGCTGCCACACTCCTGATAAAGCCATTCTTTCAACATGTTAACAATCCAGGTTCTTCTGGAGAACTCATTCTCCATGTGCACAGTTTTCTGCAAAAGGAAGTTGTAAGGATTTCATTAGGAAGAAACTGGTGGCTAGGTCCGCCAGTCACAAATATCATTCTATTCTCATTTGATCGACAAGCAACCACCAGTTTGTGTTGCTCTGGGGAAATTGGAAATCATTATATTGTAAAGATAAATATGGAAGATATTTGCAGGAGAGAGAGTATTTCAGAGTTTCTGAAAGAAAACACAATTGCACATTGAATGCGATGGAAGGGAAAAGACAGTGGTCCAATGTGCATTCCTTATTACCTCTCGTGCTTTGGCTGGGAGTTGGGAAAAACTCAAATTGCAGGACAGTTTCTGTCAGGCTCACTGTGGCTCCAATTCACCATTTTATAGTATTGCATGCTGTAGAAAGGAGCTATTGCTATTATTTTGTTTTTTTATTTAAATCACTAAGGCACTGTTTTCTTCTTTTGTAAAAAAAATGTTGTTCACTGTGCACTTATAGAGAAAATAATCAAAAATGTTGTGATTTTAGAAGTTCTCTTTTTGATAAACCAAAGATTTAGAAGTCATTCCATTGTTAACTTGTAAAAATGTGTGAACACAGAGTGTTTTTGGTGACTGCTACTCTGAAAGCTGCCAAATCTTATTCGGTGGGGAATACATATACACACATGTGTATAGATATATACACATGTGTATAGATATATACATATGTGTATATTAAATATGTGTATGTGTATACATACATACACGTGTGTGCACGTGTATCTTGAAAAGCAGTGTTACAGAGTTCAATACCAAAAGCCTTTAACTGTTAATCTGCTGTGAATGATACCTGGCCTTTCTCACTATGAGTTCCTGATCAATCAACCAGACTACACGTTGCCTCTCTGTGTATGACTAACGGCTCCAACTGATGACTCACAGCCAGCCACTTGCTTACCACGAACAAGCTCACCTTGGCAATGAATATGGATGTGAAGAGACAGAACAGCTTCACCATTAGTAGCTGGAAATGGTAACACAATCTCTTGTAGAGGAGCATAAAAGGAACATGAAAACCATTTTACATTCCTTGATCCACACTGTGCTTCAAAAGATCCACATGGTAAATGTTTTATTTTGCTTTTATGTCAGTCATCAGATACAGAAATCTAGAGGGGAAAATTACCAGTCTTTTCTTTGAAGATGAAGCTACGAGGAAGAAAATCTTATTAACACATTCCACACATTTGTTCATTCCTCAGATGTGGACGTTTTATTGGGGCCTTGACAAAGCTTGCTGGTCAGTACACGTTTCAGGTATCATGTTTTGTGATTTGTGTGTTATTATTCCCCCCCCCCCACTTCCTTTGGAAAACAAACTCACATGGTTTCCCTGCCCTGAGTCCCTGGTCAGAATGCTAATTACTTTTTCCTTTGGGTGTTTCTATCTGAGGGACTAGACCTAGTTTGGGGTCCTTTGTACTTTGCCAGACTGTGCCTTTTCACTAGGATCTTTTTAGGGTATTCCCCAGGACTGACATCCACATGCACAGCAGACAAAAGATGACTTGGCTGCTGCAAACCAGCACAGTCCAAAGAGCAGATTCCTGGACAACTGGTCTCATCTTCCCTCCTGCCGTCTCCACAAAACATATTCGCCCTGTCTCTTCTCAGCTCAGATGTGAGATTCGGAGGTCAGGGGGAAAACTGGAGATAATTGGGAGAAAATTGATGAAGTTAGCTGCTCTCAGTGGATCAGATAATCCATGTTAATTCATCTGTCTCCTATTGGGGATTTTTTATTTTAAATTTATTTAAACTGTTATATATGTCCTCTTTTGGGGTGACAAATCAGGCATGACTAAAAGATGTACAGTGACTTATGAAGATGTCCACATTCAAGTTTCTGAATGCTCTCAGAACCTGAAGGTGACCACAGGCAGTATTCTTAAGATCCTTGGAGTCCCCACGGTGATGGGAACTTGCAGACATTTGCAGTGATTCCTAATGTTGCCGCAGTCTGGTAGATTCATACTTACCCAAGGGAGTCAGAAAACGTATTCATGCAAGCGCTTCCAGTAAGCCAGCACCCATCAGCAGCAGCCCTACTTCTAACAATCAATATTGGGACAACACATGTTCTATTATGGGGATAGTGGCAGTGGGGGGAGAGAGAGAGAGAGAGAGAGAGAGAGGAAGAGAGGAAGAGGTGGGGGTAAGAATAAAAAGAGGCCAACTTCCTGATTTATGGACCTCTCAGTTCAGCTGAGATGTCACATTATGTAAAATGAATCACAGATTTTTAAATGAGAAGTCATTCTTAACAATACAATGATTGCACCAGTAAATAAAAAAAACTGAGACAGCCTTCATCTGAACATTCAAGGGTCTATGAACTGTCAGCCTTTTGCTTTCAAAACCATTTATTTCCAATCTGAAAAAAAAAAAAAGAATCAATAAAACCTATCCCAAACATTCGAGACAATTTTTTTCAAATATTATTTATTTTAAATTCAATCAGCTCTTCTAGAAACAGATTCTGGTCTGACTGAAAACTCCCACATCAAACCCACTCATCCAGTGGATAATTATTTGATGACTACCATGAGCAAAGCACACAAACCTTCAGTTCTCCAATACTGAATTGATTCAGCCCAGATTGTTCAGATTTTGAATGACTGGGCATTTGTAGTTTCTATAAGCAAGAACACTGAGAATCTCCCAGTCCTCACATTGGAAAACCATTTCTTTATAATAAAAAGGATTCTTCGTTTTTTTTTTTCAGAAGGAAAACTGAAGGGCCCTTTTTAGCTAAAGTTCTCTCCTACACCAAGATTCCTGTCTCTTTCTTTGCTGTCACACGGCAGTAGCCAATCCCTTGAAGATCGTTTAACATCTCCCACCATTTAAAACATCAGTGAGAGTTTGAAGATTTGTTTTCGTTGCCAGATACAGAAGCCCCTTGAAAACAAGGAGAGGGTGGAGGAAACACTATTTTTGGTCCTACCCCTACCCTCAATTATCAAACAAGCTCTCTAGACAAAAGGGACACTTACTAGGGAGAAACAGGGTATCCATGGTGAGACCCCATCCCTTAAGAGGAAAGCTCCAAAGAGCAGGGAGGCAATGCAGAGGCCTGGCTGCCCTCCTCACAGCAGGAAGCCCACAATTGCCATCACAGTTTGGTACACAGTTTGCCATCAGATATGAGAAAACTTGGAGTGAAAAGAATCTGGGGTCTTGGTTTTCCCATAAATCTAATATTAAACCAGTAGGGTGGTACAGATGTTTTATCAGGCAGATGGTAATAATAGACACACAGAGTCCAGGTCCTGGAACAAGATGGTCATATAGTGCCGAGAGCTGGCCAGTTGTGTCAAGGAGCTGGGTTTGATTCTAGAGTCCACCTTTTCAGAGAACCCCGGGCTAGATGGAGACTGTCCATGGGGAAATGATTTCAAGACAGGAAGGATCTGGGAAGAATTTCATTATCATCTGCCAGGGACATGGTAATAGGACTCATTGGATCCAATAACATGTAGGCTCCCTTCTGATGATAGAATTTGGTGATTTTTCCCTATGGATTAAGACAAACAACCCCCTGAATGTCTCCGGTGCTTATTTTAACCATCTGCTCCTACCATGGACACTGGTAGCATGCGTTTATTTTTAGAAATGGCTTAACATCTCCTGAGTGTTTGTGGGGAAAGGGAGTATGAAGATTGGGATCCTGGAAGCCATTTAATGTTTTCCAAGGGAACAGAACCCACAATGCCTCCAGAGTGCCTTTCCAATGGCCTGCATGAGGACTGGGGGCAATGTATTGCTGGGTGCTGAAAGTCCTCCCTCGGGGAAGCACAAAGAGGCACTCTCCAGAGAACCAAAGAGCAAGCATGTGTTCTCTGCAGGCCCTTGCATAGTGGTGTTTTTGTGTTGGTCTCCTTTGCTCAACTCCACATAACCAGAAAGAAATGTGGGTGACTGGGAAGGCAAGAAGCAGTGGCTAAAATACCAAAGTTGGCATGTGTTCTTTTTTTAAAAAAAAAAAAATGCGTATATTTTTAAATAAAATGTTTATTTTAAAAAGAAACCTTTTTCCTTGGCTGTCTGATGTACCCAGGCCGTGTGCTATGTGCCATTTACGTGTATTATTTCCTTTTATTCTCACAAGGGCCCCATGGAGTGGTGCCATTATTATCCCTGTTTTTGCAAATGGAGAGAACCAGGCTCAGAGAAGCTAAATAAAGTGCCTGAGGTTACACAACTGAAAAAGTGGCAGAGCCAAGAGTCAGACTGTGATGTGCCCCCTCCACAGCCCCCCAGCTTAAGCACCACCCATCTTATTTGCATTTGCACTTACTACTGGTCATAGTAATATAATGAGGACGTTTGCAAAACTGATTCTCAAGCTGCTTATATGCCCATTAAAATACACACACACACACACACACACACACACACACACACCTTAGTCAACCCAATGTTTTCATCAGTTTAGCAACTGAGCACATTGAATAATAATGTAGAATACGTTGGGCATCAAGATGGCCCATAAGATATGTATAAACTCAGACTGTTTAAGACCTAGTTTTATCAGCTTTTCTCTCCTAATTTTATTCCTGCTTGTCTTCATCTCATTGGTGAATATATAAACCACATAGAGGACCTATGATATCATGAAAGAGCCCTGCAATGGGCGTCCCAAGCCCTGATGTAGCCAAGAACTGATTTTTCTCCATATGGCTCTGTCTTCCCCTGCCTTCAATCAGCCTTACTTCCTGGTGGGCTTTCTTCGTGTAGAAACAACAAGGTCAAAGGTTGCCAGCAGCCCCATGTGTGGCAATTCCAGCCACAAGAGAGTTTCTCATTCCTAGGAGTCCCAGCAGAAATCTCACAGCTGGCTCTCAGTGGTCTGGGCAGGTCCCGACCATCCCTGAAGCCATCTCTGTGGCTGTGAGAAGGAGGAACAAATTGATTTCCAGGACCTGGATCCCCCACTCAGCCCTGAGCTGTGGAATGGGGTCATTTGTTTCTCATGGACTGATAATGGAGAAGGTGAGGTTTTCTAAGGGAAAATTGGGGTGCTCTTACCAAATGAGGGGATGGACACAGAAATAGATTTCTACTACATGATCCCTGCTTTCAAGAAGTTTGCCATCTAGAGAGGAGACAAACAAGTGCACAGGGAACGATACACAGTCTGAAAAGTGCATGCTATGTGCCACCAGGCTTACTAAAGTCTCGGGAGTGGAGGTGGGGAAGGATGGTCGGGAAGAAATCTTCAGAGAAGGAGACCACCAAGCCAAGATATTAATGACACAAAAGTTGGGCAGGCAAACAATCAAGGAAAAGAGCATTCCAGGCCAGGGAGACAGCGTGCACAAAGGCCAGAAGATAAAAGAGAATTTACCATGTTCAGGGAACGTGAGAAGTTCAGGATAGCTAGAGAGTGGAAAGGAAGAGTAGGGACGTTGAGGGTGGAAATGTAGGAAGGAAAAGAGAAAAAGTTGGGAGCTATGTTAATTTGTATTGCTGTCATAACAAAGTACCACACACTGTGGAGCTTAAGCAACAGAAATGTATTGCCTCCCAGTTCTGGAGGCTAGAAGTTTGAAATCGAGGCGCTGGCAGGGTTGGTTCCTTCTGAGGGCTGTGAGCTGCCCCAGGCCTCTCTTCTTGGTTTGCAGATGGCCATCTTTGTGTCCACATGGTGTTCTCCCTGCATCTTGCATTGTCTTCCCCTCTGTGTGTGTCTGTCTCTGTGTTCAAATTTCCCCTTTTTATAAGGACTCCAGTTATCTTGGATTCACCTAATGACTTCATGTTAACTTGCTCACCCTAATAACCTCATGTTAACTTGCTTACCTTTGTAAAGACCCTGTCTCTAAGTAAGGTCACACTTGGAGGTGCTGAAGGTTAGCACTTCAATGTGTACATTTTGGGGGAACACAATTCAACCCATAAGAACAGGCAAGCCTGGACCAGACTACAAAGTCAAATACTCATAAGATGCATCGAAGAGTATGGACTGCTCTTTAAAACAGTGGGTTTCACTGAAGGGTTTTAAGCAAGGAAGTGCTGTTAACAGTGTTCACGCTTTAGAAAGATGACTCCAGCTATGGTGTGGATTGGAGTGTCAAGGGCAAGGGAAGGGCAGCCCAGTACATTTTTGTAAATTTGTTTGGTAAATCACTGGTGTCCTCCTTATTCTACAGACATGAGAACTTAAAGAGAAATGATGAGTAACCCAACATACTGGATTCAGTATGCAAAGAATAATGGGGTTGGGGTGGCAAGAGTGAAAGTAGAGCCTGTGGCAATAACCCTGTCAAGGGGCAGAGGGTGGTCTCTACTAAGAAAGTGGTGGTGGGAACAGAGAGATGAAGGTAGGCACGGGACATGTTAATAGAATGGAAAAGCTGGGACTTGAGCATTGGGTGGGGGTGGTGAAGAAGAGAGGGGCTTTGGATTTGGGGGAAGAAGAGTTGGATGCTGGTGTATGTTAGTGCCGGTCACAGTAAGAGACTCAGAATGAGGAGGAGTTACTTGGCAGGAAAAATAATAAATTTGCTGTTTGAGTGTCTAGTGTCTGTGGGACACTCAAGCCAAAAGTCTTCACTAGGGAGGTCTGGAGCTCAGAGAGCCTTTGCATGGAGATACCGACATGGAAGGAGTCAGCACATTGGCATCAATTGAAACTGTAGGAAGAGCTTTGACCTACACAATGTGTGGAGTGAGAAGAAAAGAGGATCCTGAGGAATGACAGCGTTTAAGATACTGGCACAGGAGAATGAGAGGGAGTGGATAGAAAACCAGGAGAGGGTGGTATTTCCATCACCAAGGCTGGAGAGAATTTCAGGAAAGATGGGGTCTCTAATCCTGTCTAATGCTACTGTGTTCCACTAAGACAAGGACTGAAAAGTGTTCATTTGATTGACTAATGAGGAGGTGGCTGGTAACCAAGCTGAGAGAGAGCAATGTGTTTGCAGTGGTGAGGCCAGGCAGGTGTAGAGTGAGGAATTGAAAGGAGATAAGGTGAATCCAGGTGTGTCTTTCAAGAAGTATGGCAATGTAGGCAGAAGACACACAAGGCCATAGCGGGGAGTTGAACATTAAAAGGATTCATTTTCAAGAGGAGCTAACTATTAAATATGAGTTGATTTAAAAGCTAATGGTAATTAGGTAGTATAAAAAGAGAGAAGGTGGCAGAGAATGAGATCCAGGTTGGTTTGCTTTGGGGAAGAAGAAAACCGGTAGGTGTGGCAGGAAAGAAAAGGGAGGGTGCGTAGAGAAGCAGGTGCCTTGGGAAGACACCAAGGGAGTTCTCAGGTGGCAGCTTCCATTTCATACTGGAAGCAAGATGGAGAGACAATGGTCATCTGGTGGGGGGAAGTTTTAGTAAAAATAGAGATAGACAGGATTAAGAGCCATGGAGAAGAGGAGAGAAAATCAATGAGAAGATCGGGATGGATGCCTAGGAAGAGTTGGAAAACTTGGCTGAAGATCACGCCCTCTGCACAATGGTGGGACTTCCCATTACTGGCATTAAAAGCAGAGAAGCAGAGACGGGAGTTGAGACAAGTTGAGGATGCTGCAGGAATGGGTATAAAAGCAAGAAAACAGAACTGGGTAACTCGGGATATGACTGAAAAGGAAGTAAAATGGTGAACCATGGAATAAACACTGTTATTGTATATGTAGGTGAAGACTGGTCTCAGAAAGTGGTGAAATCAAGAAACTAGAAGAGGACCAAGTATTGATGCAATACTACTAATACTGTAATCATATTGTCATCATCATGATAATAATATTAGAGTTTAGTAGAGATAAATAACAGTTTCCCAGGAATGGTTCAAAGTGGAAGTCTCGTGCTCCACATGCCTAGATTAATAGGAAGTCCACTTTATCACCCCAAAACCCATATCACTCCCAAATATCAAGGAATGCCTTTGTGTCCACTGATGGAAAGAGAGACCCCATGCTCCTGTCTTTTGTAGTGGAACTGGAACAGAAATGTATATTCTTTAATACTAGAGAATGGTACAACAATCAACTTAGAGGGGTTGAGATGGGCTGAGGTGCTTTTAGCCTCTAGGCTAGAGAACTGGTGTCACAGTTGCTAAGACGGGAGTCCAGGGACTTTCCACAAATTACTGCCACCAGCCGGACAGGCTTTTTAGAAGACGTGGTCTTACTCCCTGGGTGTCATGCTCAGGCAAGGAAATCCCCTATAAAGTGAGGCTGGACTCCCCCAGGGGAGAGCACCATTGCTCTTTAAGTGACATGACCCTCTAGAACAGAGTGTTAAATCCTGTGCTCTTGCTACTCTCCCAAGCCCAGGACAGGATATGAGTCCTCCATGCTCCTGCTGTATGTCAAACTCGTAAGGAGATAATGCCCTCTGTACAATCACATGCATGATCCAGTGGGGGTGACTACATAATTTGTCATCTAGAGCATGACACTGTTGTCCAGGACCAATGCTAAATCCTAAAGGAGGTCAAGACTATAAGCACATCCAAGACTATTCCAGGCAAACCAGGACTATGGTCACCCTAAATACATGCCACCTGGAGGACATGGAACCCCCATCCACATTCATGTACCCCAATTGATCAGCTGACCTGGTGCAGGGTCCAGGCCACTGGTATTACCTCTTTCTAGCTTCAGGGTAATTTAAGTGGCAACCTTGCACCTTGCCTGATACCCATTCTTCTTTAGATCCAACCCACTCTACCCAGGCCTGAAAGTTCTCTTTAACTTCTAATTTTAAGCCAAGGGCTTGGCCTCTTGGTTTCTTTCCTCCTCAAAGCCTCTGGGATCCATATACAAACTGATCCACCCTTCTTCAGCATTCTCTATAACGAGAGGTATTTGGAGACGTAGCTATATTGATCTGGGTTTTGGGGATATCTGTCCTCAGAACAGTGGCAGCCTATTTGCCTTACCTATACAAATCAAGAGAGGTCACTAAACTGAGAACTCCCCATAAATAAAAAGAGTCCCATGTTTGAATTTAAGATTCTGTAGAAGGAAGCTCAATATGAAGACCAAAGGGTTCTTTGGGGATAAGTAGCTGAAAGGAAGCAGATGTCAAAATCACTGGGGTGGACAATGTAAGAGGCTGGAAGGCCAGCATGTTGGATAGCCAGCCATGTAGACATCAGTATAACACAGAATGACAGCAGGACAAGGAATGCAGAAGTAGATCAAGCCATGTTCAAAACTCAAATGAGGGGAAACAACCAGGAAGTATGAAGATGACAATAGGAAGGAAGGAGGGAGAGTGGTAGAACCCCATAGCCCCA